AACACTATGATACAACAATATCGAAGTAAGATGTATACTATGATATAACACTGTGATACAACAATATCGAAGTAAGATGTATACTATGATATAACACTGTGATACAACAATATCGAAGTAAGATGTATACTATGATATAACACTGTGATACAACAATATCGAAGTAAGATGTATACTATGATATAACACTCTGATACAACAATATCACAGTAAGACGTATACTACGATATAATACTGTGATACAACAATATCAAAGTAAGACGTATACTACGATATAATACTGTGATACAACAATATCAAAGTAAGGTGTATACTATGATATAACACTGTGATACAACAATATCGAAGTAAGATATATACTATGATATAATACTGTGATACAACAATATCAAAGTAAGACGTATACTATGATATAACACTGTGATACAACAATATCGAAGTAAGATGTATACTATGATACAACATTCTGATACAACAATATCAAAGTAAGGTGTACACTATGATACAACACTGTGATACAACAATATCGAAGTAAGATGTATACTATGATACAACAATATCGAAGTAAGATGTATACTGTGATATAACAAGTTTAAATACGGTGTAAGATGTGATATAACAATGTGTAAGTACAATATATATTTGATATTAAAGCGTGTAAATTCTACGTTAGGTTTGCTAGAACAATGCCTAAGTATAATATACGTTTGACATGATATTGTTGAAAGACAATGTTAGATGTGGTGTAACATTCTCTTGGAATCAGGTGTTTTATCCTGGTGTTGTTCAACACCTGTTTCTTATTGTTGTATTTGTTTTTTGTTATAATTTGCTCATTATTATTATTATTAAAATAAACTAGATTCAAGTTTTTTTTGTAGTTAAGCGTAAAGCCATACAATGGGCTGTCTGAGCTGTTTCCACCACAGGTATCGAAACCCGATAGTTAGTGTTATAAGCCTAATAGAATTACCGCTGAGTCACTGGGGTTGCAAACTAGCTCTAAGAGAAATAAAAAAGAAAAGAAAAAACCATTAAGCTACAGCATGTCTATTTCAGAGTTGAAGGTCACAAAAATATTGATCAATTGATCTGCAGAACATAGAATTCAATTGATGTAGCAAAAAATGATGTAGCCGGAGTAATAAAAAATCATTTAATTTTATATTTAGAACCTTGGTCGAAGGTAACTTTTTAAATCAGATTCGCCACCCATAGAAAATCTTGAACTTATATAACTGCTTGACATCGTAAGGTATTATTCAGTCAAGCTCGAAGACTTTGAAATTAAATTTAAATGTTTAGTTTTGATTCTAACCTTAAGTTTCATAATTTTCGCGAAGAGCTACGCAAATGACTAGCTATGCATAACCGTCCCTAATATTTAACTGGAAGACTACAGGGAACGGAGCTAGTAAACAGCAACCCACCCTCCTCCCACCAACTTTTAGGCTACTCTTATCAGACCGAATAGCGGGATGTGACCATCACTCATATAGAGCAGTCATAGCTGCAAAATACGAATATCATTTTTGTTGTTGTTGTTGTTGACAACAAAACGCGAACCACGAAACATCGGATTCACAGTCCAAGTGACAAAAATACATTTAGTATTTTCTCTCCAGATCATAACAATACATTTAGTATTTCCTCTCCAGATCAGAACAATACATTTAGTATTTCCTCTCCAGATCAGAACAATACATCTAGTATTTCCTCTCCAGATCAGAACAATACATCTAGTTTTTCCTCTCCAGATCAGAACAATACATTTAGTATTTCCACTCCAGATCATAACAATACATTTAGTATTTCCACTCCAGATCATAACAATACATTTAGATTTTCTCTCCAGATCAGAACAATACATTTAGTTTTTCCTCTCCAGATCAGAAACAATAGATTTAGTATTTCCTTTCCAGATCAGAACAATACATGTAGTATTTCTTCTCCGGATTAGAACAATACATTTAGTATTTCCTCTCCAGATCAGAACAATACATTTAGTATTTCTTCTCCGGATTAGAACAATACATTTAGTGTTTCCTCTCCAGATCAGAACAACCCATTTAGTATTTCCTCTCCGGATCAGAACAACACATTTAGTATTTCCTCTCCAGATCAGAACAATACATTTAGTATTTCCTCTTTGAGTCAGGATATTTAGAACTTCTTCTCCGAATTAGAATAATTCTTTCAGTATACTTTCACCCAATACCAAACTAACCAAGGAAAAACAGCATAGGAAGGTATACCATGTTTAATAACTGGCGTTTTAGGGTGAAATAGAACAGACAAATTAACTAAAGGTTAAAATTATTTTAAGAGTTTGTTGGCAGGAGTCTGTGCACGTGATCTACCAACGTGAGGGGATGTTTGACATTACGAGTTAACGTAAGTTTGGGAACAAATGTCAACTTAATATTAACATCCGATCAGAGTAAGATAAACTAAAAATCAACCTTGCCATCAGTACAACTAACTAAGAACGTTTTTCTTACGTTACTACTTATAAACATTATTTCATCGGTTGGATATCCTCGCTGTTAACGATATTTTCTTGTCATTCCACATTTTACATGAATTTATTTTTAAGATTCAAAGCATAAAGACAACACAGCAACCTGATTTTTATTTGATTAGGGTTGAAGGCAAGATACTACTCTCGATCACTTTCAGTTCCACGCCATCTTAAGGAGTTAAAGTCAGACACATGCTGGAACTGACACTTGTACAATGTGCACAAGTCCTTTAAATCTAACGAAACACGCTTTATAAACGTTAAAGTTGAGTCTCGGAACGCGTGTATTTTGCACGTAGAACAATCACAAGTTATAGTTTCATTTGATTTAAAGTGTTATATAAAGTACTTGCTAATGTTTTTGTCGTTTTTAGTTATTTTCTATTTTTGAATAAGTCGTTTTCTAAGTTCTCATTATCGAAGAAGAGACAAAAAGAAAGGATTGTAGTCCAAAGTTTGTTTGTTTTGTTTTGTTTTTTTAATTTCGCGCAAAGCTACACGAGG